ACGCTAGCTTTTAGAAATTTTTAACAGGATATGGTACAGCGAAAGCAACCTGCAAGCGAGGACTTGAAAATATGCAAGATAACTCTATGTACGTTTTCTGACTTTTCTTGCACTGAGAAATTTCTGTAACAAAAAAGCCAAACTTCCTCTCTTTACTCAGGTCGTGGTCTTAATTTGTGCTAAGGAAAATTGATCTTCAATTTCAATGTGAAACCGAAATGGCGCTTAAGTGAGTGAAAGATTTTATCTACTTGAAAGATCTTGTTAGTCAAGTTATAGCTGTTGGTAGACTGTCGTAGATCACGCAAATAACAAACGAGGCACAGCTGGGATATCGACTTCACCATCTGCTCAAAGCGCATGCGTTCTTGAAACCTGAAAGCTATGACTCAGAAAGGGAATCGCAATATCAGTGAACGTTTGTCGTCACGCTCAATTCAGAAAGAGAGAAAAATTCAGTGCAGTATAAACTCAGTTTAAGACTAATTTGTGTGGTATTTAGCAAGTTTAATTTTCGGTAATATCAATAATAACCTCACTTGTCGATTTATAACGTTCTGTCCTCTACTCAATAAAACTGAATCGCGCTTCCTAAGCACGCCACTTTCTCGATTTTTGATAAGGGACGCGAACAGATGTTTACCAAGCACTTGTTATACGCTTTCCAATGCATTAATTGTTTTCAAAGACAAAGGGAATTTATTGATAACCACGCAAGCTAACAGTGCTTAAATGGTGTCATCAGTCTTTTCAAATGTTTAATGTTTCTGTTTTCAAGAAATTATTACAAGCTTATGAAGCAAAGGAATCAGAGATGAATACGCATTGTTAAATTTAAGGCGATAGTTAAAGTTGCCAGGTTATGGTCCGTTTTAGCATTCTTCATCTGTAAGCCAGTCGGCGTGTCTACTCCAGCCACTTCTTAACATCTGAAGGGCTCTCCGCTCTCTACAATAAGGAGGCGAGAATATTGAAAGTATTAAAATTTGTCAGTTTATATTCCCATCGAGAAATGCTTTCGATGTTTCAACACAAGCCACACCCCACCGGCTGAATTTGATGGGTTGACTTAGTCAGCTAGTTTGTTTTTGAACCTCTTGTAGATCATAGTCTCAATAGGTCGATAGCGATTTTTAGCGCGGCTAAGAGATTATCTAAGGATCTAAGAATTGGATGCAAATTAACCTAAAATATAAAATTTACAACCTGTTGATTCTTATATTAACTGCTTGGAAGAACTTGTTAAGAGTGAGTCTTCAATGTGTTTTATCAAAAACGCTTGTTAAACAAATCTGTTTTCAAAAGGATAGTTCCATGTTTAGAATATGCAGAAAATAGCGTGTTGATGTACTCAAACTTTGTGTTTGGTTTTCGTACGATTTGCCACCATTTCGGAGTCAAAACTTGGAAAAGTCCAAGTAAAAAACAGCTTAAAGTCTTCACCTTCTTGTGAATAAGCGCTCGTCTTCCAAAATGAGGCAGCCATACAGACTGAGTGGGAGGACTTTCAACATCTTCATACTACAAAAGACAAAGATTAAACACAGTCAGATATCTCAGGCATATATACATCGTTTATCTCATATATCGCTTAGCCTACTTTACTTACATTTGGTTTGTTGATATCTACTCAAACTTTTGTTTGGTTTTCGTTTGGTTTGCCATTTGAAGACAAAAACTAAATTTAAGTAGTCCAAGAACAGGAAAACAGCTAAAATCCTCACCTCCTCATGACCAGGTACTTCCCTTCCAACATCTTCATACTGCAATGACAAAGATTAAGCACAGTCAGATATCACAGGCATACACAGCAGTTACAAACGGTCCTGTTTCATGCAAAATACCTTGAAGATTCGTTCGTAGGGAAACCGTCTTTTACCAAAGTTGTCCGGCTTTCTGAACTTTGAACATTTTCGTTGTGCCTCGCTTGGTTGGTTGCACATCAGTAACACTGTAACGCACACCGCACAAAACACAATCCCTTGAGTGTTCATGATGAGTGAAGACTTGCTTGTGTGCCGGCTTAGTTCTGGAGTGAATGGTTTTTGTGTCGCTCTGGTGAGTTTTATAACCTGCATCAACAGGTGATTCCTAACCCATCTACGTTCATTAAAGACAATTACTTTAATGTCCATCATAAAACCCTTTAAACTGTTTAAATTATGCAAGCGGCAGGTCTTTGTGACATAGACATTAAAAGACTATCAAATACAATGTTGAGAAAAACTCCATGTCTTAAACATCTTAAGACTGATTGGAAAAATAATAATAATAAAACTAAACGAACTCAAACCATTAATAACATTTCTCATGGGGTGGTAATTTATGTTTAGTATGGATCATTGCTTAATAAACACTGTAGAGGTGTTATTATGTGCTGTATTCCTTTATACTCCAGGACCTCAATCA